CTGCTATGGCCTGGGAAAGCAGTAGAAGATGGCCCAAGTCCTTGGGCCCCTGCACCCGCGTAGAGACCTGGAAGAAGCTCCAAGCTCCTGACTTCAGATCTGCACAGCTCTGGCCATTGCGGCCAACTAGGGAATGAACCATTGGATGGAAGACCCCTCTCTCTCTCTCTTTCTCTCTTTTTCTCTCTCTTTCTCTCTCTCTCTCTCTCTGCCTCTCTTCTCTGTGTAACTCTTTCAAATAAATAAGAATATATTTACTGTCATGACTTTTTATAAAGCCTCCTAACTGGCCACTCCAATATACAATTGTCCCCACTACAGTCTGTTCTCCTAAAGCGGCTAGAGAGATTTCTGACGAAACACATACATTTATATATTAACTATAAAACAGAAAAACAACAGGCTGCATCTAAAGCCTAAATGCATTGACTGTGGGAGTGCTAATCTATCTCTACAAATTCTCTCTTCCTTCCTTCCTTACTTCCTTCCTTCCCTCCCTCCCTCCCTCCCTCCTTCCCCCTCTCTCTCTCTCTCTTTCTTTCTTATTTGAAAGTCAGAGTTACAGTCTAGAGAGAAAGAAAGAGCAATCTTTCTTTCATCTACTGGTTCACTCCCCAGATGGCCTCAATGGCCAAGGCTGGGGCAAGGCCACAGCCAGGAGCCAGGAGCTTTATCCAGGTCTCCCATGTAGGTGGCAAGGGCCCAAGTATTTGGGCCATCTTCTACTTCTCAGGCCATTAGCAGGGAGCTGGATTGGAAGTGGAGCAGCTGGGTCACAAATCAGTGCTCATATTGGATGCTGGTTTTGCAGATGGCAGCCTCACCCACTATGCCACAACACCAGACCCTCTAAAAATTCTTAACTACCTAACTAGGTCCAGTGACACAGAAATTCATAAAATTGGACCTCTAGGGGAAAATTCAACTTTGTTGCATTGAGTATTAAAGGAAGTACAGGTTTTTACCCAGGAATCAAAGGTACCAAGGCAGAAGTAAGAATACCCAGGCATGGGGCCAGCACCGTGGCTCACTAGGCTAATCCTCCACCTTGCGGCGCCGGCACACGGGGTTCTAGTCCTGCTTGGGGCGCCGGATTCTGTCCCAGTTGCCCCTCTTCCAGGCCAGCTCTCTGCTATGGCCAGGGAGTGCAGTGGAGGATGGCCCAAGTACTTGGGCCCTGCACCCCATGGGAGACCAGGAGAAGCACCTGGCTCCTGCCATCGGATCAGTGCGGTGCGCCGGCCACAGCGGCCATTGGAGGGTGAACCAACGGCAAAGGAAGACCTTTCTCTCTGTCTCTCTCTCTCACTGTCCACTCTGTCAAAAAGAAAAATTAAAAAAAAAAAGAATACCCAAGCGTTCTAGATCTGGACAATAACAAACACCTTCACCCTAAGACAACAAGTATCAAAGCTTGGTCCACAACAAATCCCACCCATCTTCTTAGGCCTCTTGCCCAAAGCAAGGGCACTTCTTGGATTACACTAAGACAGACGTGCCAGTCTTACTACAAAAGGGGTGGGAACACAAGAAATAGTGCAACAGATTGATTCGTTTGGTTACTTGGCCATCTCCCGCGTACAGCCGAGTGCAGTAAGGACACAGGCAATCTGGTCTTGCTCTTTTAAGCAATCCCATCCACTTCTGCAGAGATACACGGGTACGCACGGTACGCTCTCCACTCCTGCCCTCAATCAGCCAACACCTCATTCCCTTTCTGCTCTGCCCTGGACCCACCCAACTTTCTGACCACTCCTCTGCTTCTTCCTCTACACTCTCCTATTTCTTCATTCTCACCCCTTGTCCTTTCTTTGGCTCTTCTTGACTAAAATGCCGACTCTTCACTCCCTCAAATGATCCCTAGGAACTCTCCCTCTGGTTTGACCTGCAGCTAATGCACACCCCTTGTCTGCTTGGACCTGGTGAACACTGTGCTAGATGATGTTTTTGAGAGAACAGGAAGTAACCTAAATCAACCTACATTCCCAGGACCTGGAACCAACCCTGAGCTGTGCTTTCAAAAGCAAAAGGGAGATTATATCCACAACTGGCAGCAACTGGGGTTAGGAGTGGGGAGGTGGGGCTGGACTAGGAAAGTTCATTCATTTTTTTAAATATTAATTAATTAAAAAAAACCCTGCACTTAACTTCACAGCACTCATTACACTTATAACGAAATCTGTGGGGCCGGCCGGCACTGTGGCGCAGCAGGGTTAAGCTGCCGCAGCTGCGACACCAGCACCCCCTGCCTGCTGCTGCAGGCCCCACTGCAGTCCCAGTGCTCTGCTTCTAATCCCATCCCCTGCCAATGCGACTGAGAGGGCAGTGGAGGATGGCCAAGTACCTGCGCCCTGCACCCACATGAGAAAGCTGGATGAAGATCCTGGCTTCAGCCTAGTCCAGCCCCAGCTGTTGTGATCATTTGGGGAGTGAACCAACAGATGGAAAATTTTCTCTTTCTCTCCCTCTCTCTCTAACTCTGCCTTTCAAATAAATAAATAAATCTTTTTTAAAAAAGTCGTATAAGGGTGATGAGTATCTGTCTCTTCCCACCTGCAGCCTGCACTAGACTGTAAGCTCCATAAAGAGAAGAACTATGTTCACCTGATCATGACTAAACTCTGTACCCTACGATTACCTGGCACGGAGCTGTAACTCAATTACTCCAGCCCTATAATTTATGCTCAACAGAGCTCTGAGATGACAAGGAACTCCTCACATCAATCTATCCTGGAAAAGTTAACAACATGCATTTCTTGAGCTCCTGACAGTCTATCTTAGGAACCGCTCTTTGATTTTTACGTGAGTTATCATTTAATCCCCATGATAAACCCATTAGGTAGATACTACGGTTATTCTCACTTTACAAATGAAGCCTTTGAGGCAGAGAGGTCATATAATTTGCCCAACGTTATCCATATGAAGGCAGAGATGAGACTCAAACCCATGTAGCCTGGCTTAAAGCCCACACTGCCAATCACTACACTAAACCATCTCTCACTGAAGGAGACATCAAATTCTTGAGCGCCAATGAACTGAGCCAAATAATACAAACGAAATGAAAACAAATTCAGACCTAGATATACCAATTATCAGTTCCACAAGACAATTCAAAGAAATTGCTACCATAAACCATTCCAATGTCTGGTGCTTACCGTTAAGTTAAAATAAAAATTAAAAACTAATACCAGGGGCCAGCACTGTGGTGCAGCTGATTAAAGCCTCAGCCTGCAGTGCCGCATCCCACATGGGCACTGGTTGGAGTCCAGCTGCCCCACTCCCATCCAGCTCTCTGCTAGTGCACCTGGGAAAACAGTGTAAGACAGCCCAAGTCCTTGGTCCCCCGCACCCACACAGGAGACCCAGAAGAAGGTCCTGGCTCCTGGCTTTAGATCACCCCAGCTCTGGCCCTTGCAGCCATTTGAGGAGTGAACCAGCAGATAAAAAATCTGTCTCTCTCTCTGTCTCTATTTCTCTCTGTAACTCTTGCAAAAAAATTAAATAAATCTTAAAAAAAAAAAAAAAACTAATACCAGAGTTGACATTTGACCCAGTGGTTAAGCCACTCGTTAGGACACCTGTGTTCCACATCAGAGTCCCTGGGGTGCCGTCCCCAGCTGAGCTTCTGATTCCAGTTTCCTGCTAATGTCGAGCCCAGGAGGCAGCAGTGGTAACTCGAGTACTTGGATTCCTGCCACTCACACAGCAGCCACAGCTTCAGCCACCTGGTCACTGCAGGCATTTGGGGAATAAACCAGTATATGGGAGCTCCCTTGCTCTCTCTTTCTCTCTGTGTCTCTTTAAATAAACAAACAAACAAATAAATAAATAAGGCCACATCTTCTTTAATTAATAAGATACAGATAGATACTGAAATCCAGAATATTCTATGTTAAAAACATTTTTCTGCCCAATCACCAAACTAGGTCCAACAGGGCTAGACAGTTACTGGCTGGGTTTGCCAATAGAAGCAGCACATCCGGTTGCCCCTCTTCCAGGCCAGCTCTCTGCTGTGACCAGGGAGTGCAGTGGAGGATGGCCCAGGTGCTTGGGCCCTGCACCCCATGGGAGACCAGGAGAAGTACCTGGCTCCTGCCATCGGATCAGCGCAGTGCACCGGCCGCAGCGCGCCGGCTGCGGTGGCCATTGGAGGGTGAACCAACGGCAAAGGAAGACCTTTCTCTCCGTCTCTCTCTCTCTCACTGTCCACTCTGCCTGTCAAAAAAATAATAAATAAAAAAAGAAGAAGAAGAAGCAGCACAGATGTGTGAAGACTGCCATTGTCCCCATGGCTTTGTCTTTCCAGATCTCCCAGCACAGCACATGGGAAAATAATATCCCCCAAGCTTTTCTTCTACCCAAGAGAATACCAAAAGCCCAACACAAGGCATGTGACAACAGAGAGATGACTGGAGATACAGATGACTCAAATTATTAGATGTCTGTCCAAAAAAAAAAAAAGGCCAGTGCCATGGCTCACTAGGCTAATTCTCGGCCTGCAGCGCTGGCACACTGGGTTCTAGTCCCGGTCGGGGCGCCGGATTCTGTCCTGGTTGCTCCTCTTCCAGTTCAGCTCTCTGCTGTGGCCCAGGAAGGCAGTGGAGGATGGCCCAAGTGCTTGGGCCCTGCACCAGCATGGGAGACCAGGAGGAGGCACCTGGCTCCTGGCTTTGGATCGGCGCAGTGCGCCGGCCATAGCGGCCATTTTGGGGATGAACCAATGGAAGGAAGACCTTTCTCTCCCTCTCTCTGTCTAACTCTGTCAAAAAAAAAAAAAAAAGAAAGAAAGAAAGAAAGAAAAAAAGAAAAAAAAACAAGATATCTGTCCAACAGATGCCTCTAAGCCCAAACATTCAATGGCCTACTTCCAAGGTAACATCCAGTTTTAACACAGGACCTGAGGGGTCTACAACTCTTGGTTTTTGGTGCCTTAGTGGCATACCAATGAAATGCGAAAGGCCCTAAGAAGTCTATAATGAGATGAGGAAAATGCAGCTCACCTTCCACTGCTCTTCGGGAAGTAGTCTCACCACCACCACGTCTCCATTTAAGGCTCTGTTTCGAGCAACAACCCCATCAATGAAAATGTCTCGGTCACCATCCTGGTTGGAGAAAGACACAAAATAATAGCTTACCAATGTAGCAAGCAAAAATTACTTACTGGATTTAAAATTTTTAGAGCCTATAATCTGTCCACTGACTTAACAGGAACACAGGTACACAACCGTACAAACACCTGAAGGGAAACAAACACACACACACTGCAAGTTAGCAGAATTATAAAAATCGCCAACTAAGCAAAGGCCAGAAACAAATAAATGAAAACCCAGAAAGCAATAACTTGACACTGTATGCATTTATATCTGAAAGGAGAAAGGACTAAGTTATTTGTAGGTTTTCCTTTTTTCTTTTAAATAAACCATGCTGGTACCTTTTAAAAAATATGTTTTTTATGTATCAAGGAATGGTAAAAAAAAAAATACAAAGCACACAAGAAAGCAGAAGAGAAACATCATGATCTCCCACAACACAACCGAGAGCAGGGGCAATAACCAGTTCTAGGATTTGGGTTCTCTACCAAGAAAACAGCAGTCACCCTACCCTTCGGGAAAGTGGCAGAGAGAACAAATTGTGGCTGTTTTCATCGAGAGTGAAGCAGGAGGCAAACAAGCGAAGAGGCATAACATGAGGTTCAAAAAGCATCTTCACTCTCCATCCACCTCCTGGCGTAGGAGCCGGGCGAACACTGGACCAGGAACCCTAGGTACACATATCTTCATCCTCATCCTCACCCTCACCCTCACGCAGAAATAACTCACTCAGCAGTGTGGCACCCAGGGAACTCCCCAATCGGCTTCTTACTTAAAAGAAGTGCCAGAGTCTTTGCAAGAAGCCAAATCACTTTGCAAAAACACTTAAATGGAGAAGATAGCTAAGGAGAATGCAAGACTTCATAGTCAGTTTCCACGAGAAAATGAAGCATTTCAAAACATTTCACCAGAAAATATGTACCCTCATTCTTTTATTCTTCCAAAACTTTACACTAAGTGCTCTTTTTCAGAGGACATGGAGAGGTAAACTGTTTTTCTTACAGGAGATGACAACAAAAGGATCTGAAAATCACCACTCAGGTTTCCCTGAGAGAGACACTTAAAAGACGTAAGATCTAACACTCAACAAACTGAGGTAGTGATTATGGAATTAAAGTTCAAATTAGCATTCCAAAATCACCAACCCACTCCCCCCAAAAATGGCATTTTTTTCACTCAGCATTTTTTATGGTTTCTAATTACAAACATTTCAAGTTTTTCAGAGCAATTTTTCTTGTTCAACTTCCACTCTAGCTGTGGGCTGGCAGCTGTGTCCTGCAGAGCCTGCCAAACCTGACACCACCCAGTCCCAAGGAACAGCTACCATGTTAGCCCGAAGAATCACCAAGGTCGATTCTGCGACAAGCTTCCCAAAGAAATGAGGAAGAGACAGCTCAGAAAGAGACGAGGACAACTCAAGTGCGATGCGTCATCCCCCCGCGCTGCTCTCTGCAGTGAGAAGCAATGGGATCTCTGGAATGAGAGACTGGATGCAGGTCATTCTAACCTATTCTCATGTGTCAAACACGAGCAATGAAATGTCTCTTTCACAGCCACCCTTTGGCAGCTCAGGGATTTGAGATGCTAGGACGAATATCGTCCTCTTCCTATCCCAAGAAGGAAAGAAAGTGGGGCTGAGCTGACCCTCAGACAACACAGCAGTCCCCAGCCACTGTCATTTACTCAGCTCCTCCTTGACTCATTAGAAGCCTCCCTCTATTGCTGAATGTCCTATCTGAAAGTTACTAACCTCAGGAACTGCTCAACATTAGGAGGTTGAGTCAGCTCTCTTAACTACTTTTAAGGCCAAGGAGTTCAGTTCTTTATTTGGATGCCAGAAGACTTGATCTATGCATCAAAAAGAATACATTAAAAAGAAAGAAAAATGGATGATGAACACCCCTAGAGAAACTCTAAAGAGACCTGGGAATAATCTAATGAAATACTCACAGCGAGGACAACCCAGTGTGTCACAGTGGCCAGAGCATCCTCCCTCAGTGGAACAGCTCCCTGTGGACCAGGAATAAATTCTACAGCTGTACAGAGGTGCCTCCCACGACAAGAGGCATTAAAACGTTACCGAGCCTCTTGGACCAATTTAATGCAGAATAGAAACTGTGCTTAAAAAAAAAAAAAAAAAAAAAAAAAAAAAAAAAAAACAACCAAGAAACAGATTTTTACATCTGGTCCTTTTCTCCTCATTATTCTACCCACAAAAAAAAGGATAAAAAGGCATCTCAATAGTATCATTTTATCTTAGTCACGTGATTTTATTCTAATTTTTTTTTTTTTGAGAACTTCAGGAGACAAGCAGTTACACAAAAGTGATTCATTTGTCATTAAAAAAAAATCTACTTTCTACCAGTAGAAAGTACAATGAACCTAAATTTCCCAAAACAAATTTCTAATTATTCCTGATGGACAGTTCACTATTCTTAGTCTGCTGACTTACATACACACTTTGGCAGAGCTAATGACACTGTATAAATTCACAACCATTTTTAAAATCGAGGAGAGTAAACCTAAATGATCAAATCTGTTTTAGGCTTTCTAAAAACTTAGAAATTTTGAGGCAGTGAAAAACATTAGACAAGATTTAAATCACTCCCACCTTTTAAAAATAAAGAACATCTATTTCCCACTTCAGGAGCTGAGGCCACATCTTTATACGGACTCCTGTCTTTGTTCTCCCAGCTCAACAGAGCACAAGCAACATTCAGGCCCTGGATCCCACATCCCACTTCCTGGTCTGCAGGCGCCATGCTGCCGGTTCACACAGGTTTGCACTCTATGAAGTACCCATACTCAGAAACCCAGACCACTGGTGACTCTGGGGTTTAATCTCTGGGAAACAAATCGCCTCCACTATGGACCCCTTCAATTACTTTCTATAACACTTCTGAAAACTGAAAATGATCCCAAACCCACAAAACAAGAATGCAAAACTGTTCCAGTGTCTAAAACTAGAGTACCCACAAACACTTGCAATGGGCCTCGAAAGTGGCTCTTCCAGACTGTTCTTAATTCCCTAGAAGGAATTATTTACTATGTTTTTCCTCTCTGAAACAACCTTACTACTCCACCAGTGGCCTGACAAAGGAATAAACAGGCACAGCCAACCCTAATACCACACTGTCTGAAACTTTCTAAGTGGGACACGCTGGGAGTACACTTTCAAGCAGAACAACCGTGAGCTACTGCAGCATTGCTAACTTGCTTTGCCTCCTAGAGAGCCAGAAGTAAACCACAGAGATCCTTCATGGAAAATGTAAATCACCACCCTGAACTTGCAGGAACCTAACCAGGCCCCAGGCCCCACATTCTGGAGGACCTCTTGCCTGGCTCTGCTCCAGCCACATCATCCCCATTAGGCAAGGAGTGCTCCTCTGGAGTAAGCAGGCCCAACCCCACTTCCAGGGCTCCCCCTGGACTTGGCAGTTGGCTGAAGGGCAAGTGTTTCTCAGGGGACAGGATGTGTCCATGCAAGGGCCCTCACTGCAACAGAGCCACCCAGATGGGTCAGGGAGCCAGCATGGGGAAGGGAACAGGCCAGGCCAGAGGTACCCCCCCTCCACATAGCCGCATTTCTGTATGGAGCTCCAAGGAAGCTGAGAATTCTACACTTGCACCTAGGTATGGGAGCAATACTTGGCAAGAAATACACTTTGGGGACCGGTGCCAAGGCTCACTTGGCTAATCCTCTGCCTGCGGCGCCAGCACCCTGGGTTCTAGTCCCAGTTGGGGTGCCGGTTCTGTCCCAGTTGCTCCTCTTCCAGTTCAGCTCTCTGCTGTGGCCCGGGAGTGCAGTGGAGGATGGCCCAGGTCCTTGGGCCCTGCACCCGCACTGGATACCAGGAGAAGGCACCTGGCTCCTGGCTCCAGATCGGTGCAGTACACCGACCATTGTAGCCATTTGTGGGGTGAACCAATGGAAGGAAGACCTTTTTCTCTGTGTCTCTCTCTCATTGCCTAACTCTGCCTAATTAAAAAAAAAAAGAGAGAGAGAGAGAGAGAGAGAGAGAGAGAGAGAGAGAGAAATACACTTTGTCATGGGGGCTGGTGCTGTGGTATAGTGGGTAAAGCCACCACCTGCAGTGCCGGCATCCTATATGGGTGCTGGTTCAAGACCCAGCTGCTCCACTTCCTATTCAGCTCTCTGCTATGGCCTGGGAAAGCAGTAGAAGATGACCTAAACCCTTGGGCCCCTGCACCCATGTGGGAGACCCGGAAGAACCTCCTGGCTCCTGGCCTGGATCAGCGCAGCTCTGGCCAATTGGGGAGTGAACCAGTAGATGGAAGACCTCTCTCCCTGTCTCTGCCTCGCCTTCTCTCTCTGTGTAACTCTAACTTTCAAGTAAAATAAATAAATCTTTTTTTTTTTTTTTTTTGACAGGCAGAGTGGACAGTGAGAGAGGGAGACAGAGAGAAGGTCTTCCTTTGCCGTTGGTTCACCCTCCAATGGCTGCCGCGCTGCAGCCGGCGCACTGCGCTGATCCAATGGCAGGAGCCAGGTGCTTCTCCTGGTCTCCCATGGGGTGCAGGGCCCAAGGACTTGGGCCATCCTCCACTGCACTCCCTGGCCACAGCAGAGAGCTGACCTGGAAGAGGGGCAACCGGGACAGAATCCGGCACCCCGACCGGGACTAGAACCCCGTGTGCCGGCACTGCTAGGTGGAGGATTAGCCTAGTGAGCCGCGGCGCCAGCCAAATAAATAAATCTTTAAAAAAAAAAAAAATATGCTTTGTCATGAAACACCTTTTACTTAGTAGTTGATTAGTTTGACTTATACCTTTTCAGTGTTTGATATTAGGCACTGGTATCTCCTTTGTGCATTTGTCCTAGACCCCACACTTGTTAGGAGCCAACCTAACAGAGGATCAACCGGGGAAATTCAACACTGGGTACTCAGGGAGGACAGAAAGCAAGCAGCACAGTTTTCAGGACGCTGTGGTTTCCTTGTCATTCCAGTTAATGAGAGCGAAACTTGGCACGCCTCAGAGATGAGAGGCTTGGGATCTGCTCAGTTCCCAGGTGCTTCTTGGGACGAACTCCATACTACCTTGAGTGTGGCTGTCATCTTTAAAAATGCCCATTCTTCACACACTAGGATTCCTAACACAATCAAGCTCCTCCAACTGGAATGCCACCAGACAAACAGTCGTTCTTTCTGATGTAAGGAAAACGCTGCTTATGCAAGACTCTCAGAGGTGCTTCATCTGTCCCCAGCACGGCAACTTCCTGAAGGATTTCCATGGGCAATTTTGATGATTCCTACACGCGATGCTATCAGCAAACTGAAATCTAACACCCATGGAAACTGCACTTTCTCCATCTGATGGGACTGCTCCTGCAGCTACATTATGACCTTAAAGCTGACCCTCAATGCTACCCTCCAAGCACTGGGCTCAGCATATATACCATGTTCTGTCACAAAGACAAAAGAATAGGACTCAGAGAAAATAATGGGACATGTGATACTTTTTAACTGGCCCAACAGGGTAAGACTTGGATATAAATGTGAATTCTTGACTTCTGGAGGGCAGAGGAAAAAAAGGCTATTGTAACAATAACAGCAGTAATGCCGATGGAGTGCACGACTAAACTTGTCACTTAACATAATGAAATAAGGGTATCCCACTTCTTTACCTCTGAGTAGACATTTGTCTCTATGGTCTCATCCACTGTGAAAAGAAAATGTAGCTATCCTAGTTACGCCTCCTGGAAAGGGACGTCGGGAACTCAAGGACACTGCTCTCCAGCTTTACGTAACTGAGCCTTTCCAGGGACCTGCTAACCATGTGTCAGTGTGAACTCGCTTTAACTGGAGAGAGCCTCTTAAAATGAGTCACGGAAATAAGAGAGTCTGAAGAGCCAATGATAAATAATTCTGCAGCAAGTCCTATCACCTGCATAAAAGTGAGTTGAGAAATGAGGACCAAGAAAACAGCAGTGCACGTTATTCGTGGACAAATGTTCACTTTAGCTCATGTAGTAGATCGAAAGTAGATAGCATATTTGTTTAAGAAAGATTAACTTAAATCAGTGGAAAAAACCATAAATGCTTTTAAGCCATAAACCAAGGGCATCCAATTACACGAACTGGCGGGTCGTCCGCCTGGGTCCAGCTGCTCTCTGCAGCCGTCCCTCTCATCTGGCAGTCGATGGTAAGACTGGCAGGAGGGGTTGTGAACCAAAAGCAAATTTTCTTTATTGACGTTTGAAACAAATCCTTGCTCACCCTCAGTTTTGTTTTACTACTCCGCTTTTTAGCTAGAATATATGATTTCAGTTTCAGAGCTCATCTAAAAAATTAACCATGACATTAGGTTTATTATAAAGTTACTGAACTTACCGGGGAAGGAATGAAGGCTTCATGAAACTTCTTTGGATTAATTCTCAATATACCCTTTAAAACAAAAAGTAATATCTGTGACAATCTAGCAATATATATTTATGATTTTTCCATACGTATGTTATTCTCCAATAAGTTTTTTAATTAGACAGTTTGATCTAGAAAATAAGCTAGATGCCTAAGAATTATTCATTCAATGCATGAAACATGATTATGTTGATGTCTGTAATCCAGGGTTCCATCAAAAACTGACAGCTCAGACTGGCACTTTACAGTGAACAGGCAGAGGTGAGACAACAGATTTGCACATAAGCAGCAAAATGCCACCTCATGGGATTTTAGATGCCCCTCTATGCTTGTCTTCAAACGTAAACTTTGATTTTAAGAACAAGGTTACCCAGGGATTACACACGCTCATTACATAATAGCCTTTTTTACTCTTTCCAGTTCCAATTCCTTTCTATGACTGTTTCTGTAACAATTTTCAAAGTGATACAAGTTGATTTCCAACACAGATACTTAGTCTCAAAGGACTGGATGCATATGTTTTACTCTGGCTCCTCCGCAGAGCCCAATGAGTAAATTCTAAAGTCCATAACCAGCTCTTAACACAAACGGGAATCCTGGCTCCAACAGCCAGGCCACCCAGTCTGCCTTCAACTTCGTATTATTCCACTGCCAAATCAGAGTCTGCTTCTACTTATGCACAGGGTGCAGGTGGGGGTAGTCTTCAATAGCAGGTCAGTATTTTAGGCCTGTGCAGGAAGCTGTAACCCTCCCCAAGTTCCAGCTGCACTCCCGAGCCTCTGGAGCACACGGATGGAAGCAGTTATTTTTTTCTAACAGCCAGACTCAAAGAATACCTTAAGAAAGTATTTTAAATAACATTCTCCTCCTAAAATGTTCAAATACAAAGATACATAACAAACAAAATAGGTGAGAGCATACAATCAAGCCAAAAATTGTTTCTTCCTTTCACTGGTATTCCACGTTTAGATTTCAAAATGTCCACGCCACAGTATACAACTTCACTTACAACCCAAATAGACTACTGCAATGACCATTCAGTCCTAATTCAACAGTTACTTACCCAATGCTGACTATGTTCAAGATCCTAAGACAGACAATGTGGGAGAAAGAATGACAACTACGCCTGGCCCTTGTTTTAAAGGAAACCATGAAAAAGGCCTCAGTGAGGGTAGAGCTTACTTTCACCTGGAGTAAAGGGCTCCGGGGCAGTACCTGACCTTGGCCTCGACAAAGAGCAAACTTCGCAAAAAGTCAGAAGGGAAGGAGAGAAGATGGCACTGTGCTAGCAAATGTGGGTAAGAGGGCACACATTCCCCATCTGACCATAACTCTGTTTTTTAAATAACATTTTAAAAAAAAGACTGGCTTGCAGGTTCGTGTTCAGTGCTGGGGACACAATGGACAGTGATAATAGCCAGTGTCTACCTGCATAGAGCTCACAGCCTAGTGAGGGGAAGAGACTCCAAACAAAGGAGACTAAATTCACTGCAATTCAACCTTAACAATTTCACTTTGATTCCAAGAACTATTCTGGCCTAGGTGTTTGTTTGTATGTGTGTTTATATGTATTTAAATTTGAAAGGCAGAGAGAGAGACAGAGCACCCACCCACCAGCCTATTCCTCAAGTGCCTCCAACAGCAAAGTTTTGAGCCAGGAACTGAATCCAGATCTCCCACACGGGTGGCAGGAACCCAGCCATCTGAGCCATTACCACTGCCTCCCAGGGTCCACATCAGCAGGAAGCAAGCTGGAGTCAGGAGCCAGAGCCAAGAATCAAGCCAAGGAACTCCTGATGCGGAACACAGTCAAGAGTGTGGTCTTACTATGGTCTAACTATGAGGCCAAATGCCCCAACCTCCCTTCTTTTAAAATCCCTATTCTTTTTTCATCCCTGATAGCTCGGTGTGAGGTCAGCACACAAAGAAGCAAGCGCATGAGAATGACCCCTGCTTTGGAAGTGCCTTTAATTACACAGCACTCAGGGAGGCCAGGGGTGGACTCAGGGGAAGGAGGAGGTTGCGGAATGCTGCATCTAGGCTGTACTTCAAAGAAAAGATACTAGCAGGACCTTAAAGATTTTATTCTCAATTCTCTATTTCAGGCTTTCTGCTACATAAAAGTGCATAGGGAGGGAAAGAAGTCTTGTGCTAGAACAGCATTTGTCAATTTGACGGGCACGTAGCTCTCAAGAACTAGAGCCCAGGAGCAGAGCCCTTGAGATAGTGCAGATCACATAAAGGGAAACTAGCGGAGCCCGCAGCAGACCAGAGCTGTGCGTGCAGCCTGACAGAGCCTGCTCCCACTATAGCCTCGAAGAAACGGTCTGTTAACCAAGAGATGTCCAGCAGATGCTCTGACTCACTCCAGACAGAAGCCTGAGACTCATTTACATCTTTCTAGAACCATCACAAAACCTGACCTAATTCCCCATTTCCCATGCTCTTCCTCAAACCTTCCCTGGGCCTGGAATTGATCCGTGAGGCTCCTAAACCCCCACACCCCACCCCACCTCTGCCCCTCTCTGACTGTTCCTGCACCTCCTGGCTCCTCTGAAGCCTGGCTGTCCTTGATGTGGTCACTTCCCTTGAGTACTCTCAAAGGGATCTATTTCCTCTCTCATACACAAGCTCAGGAGTCAGTGGGAGACTGTCTTCTTGCTTCTCCTACTGTGGCTTAAAACATTTTTTTCCTCATTCTCCTTCAAAAACCCCAGATCCTCAGAAGTTCACATCAGTAACACGTGCTGTACTCCTTGGTGCTGTCATCTTCAAATGCTCTGGTCATGGCTCTAAGTCACTAATATTCTGACTTGCAGCTCACTGCCTCACTTCCACCCCCACTCCCATAAACATTCTGGGATCTCAGATCTTCATCAATAACCATGCCACCCTAGCCTGCTTTTCTAACTACCTTTTCCTCCAGTCACTCTCCCACGTCCTCAGCCTGCCATCACCACAAATTACACAACCTCCCAAAAAGAAAAATCGAGTATCATGCCTTCTGATACAGCCTCCACCCTTCCAGGTCACTTACAGCCCAAACCCCAATTCACCAACTTTTTTATTTCACTAAGACCTCCAATCCACAGTGTAGACCACACTTCCACTATCCAGTGTCCTCTCTGTAGTCACCCACCTCACTGACCATCTGGTTGCAAGTATACCATCATCTCTTGTCCTGGCAAACTTTGGCCTTGGATTCCCTTTCTCTTATTCTCAACAAGCAAAACACCCCCTCTCAACTGACTCCAACTATGTACCTTCTCTGTGCCTACACACAAGGATCCAAACAGCATTGTATTTGTCTTGGTATTTGTTATATATTTGCCTTGGGTATTTTGTTATAGACACACACACACAAACGCACGTACAAATAATATACTTGGCAATTACAAGCATGTCTTATTTGGCTGAAAATGTTAAAGAATGCTTAAAACTGCAGAATTTCACATAAAAATGTGCATTTTCAAGTTTTCTTGAAAAGTCATTAAGACCTAACAAGGGAGGACAGCTAGCCCCACCACGGGTAGCAACCACACGAGCTGAGTGACAGGCTCCCTGACAGTACCAGAAGCAACCAGAACTACGCAGATGAACTGTGGGCCACACACTGCCTCAAGAGCTGGATATCTGTGCACTGATTCGGCTCTCATGGCAACCTATCAGGCAGACGTCACCGTCCGCTCCTTCCCAGAGGAGGACACTGAGGCACTCAGAGGTTAAGCAGGCTGTCCACTTTCACATGGGCAGCCTGGCTCCAGAGTGCATGCTCTGAACTACTGCGGTCTGCTTCTGTCTGCAGCGTCATCAGGGTTCTTCACGTGTGGATACCATCTGCCTTAGCTGTCCCCCCAATCAGCACCACATCCCAACCCTCAATCTCCCTGTCTTGGCTAATGGCAACATCATCTACACAGCTGCTCAACTCAAAGCCTCAGGTGGCATCCTGGACTCCTTCCCTGGTTCCCCTTCCCTAACTAATCTGGCCTTAGTCACGTCAATTCCAGCACTACACCCATCTGTTTCTCTCCTCCTGCACAGCCACCACTCTCATCCAGCACCACTTCTTTTCTTGCCTGGTTTACTCTGACAGCTTCCTATATGGTCTCCCAGTTGCCGTCCTAGTCTGTTCATTTCACAATAGCCAGAGAGATGTTTTTTAAAGCATGGAACAGAAAGCTTCCTCCCCCTGCTTAATACCTTTCAGTGACCTTCCACCACTTTTTGAATAAAATTCAACTCTCCAACACAGCCTACAGACCTTACCTGACTTGGCTGCTATCTCTCAAATCTATCCCCGTATTATAATTCCTTTGCTCACTTTTGTTTCAACAGGCTTCCTTTTTGTTCCTCAAAAATACCAAGCCTTGGGGCAGGTGTTGGTACAACAGGTTAAACCACTGCTTATCAAAGTGCCTGGAATCAAGTCCCATCTCCACTTCCGATCCAGTTTCTTGCTAATGTACACTCCAGGAGATGGCAGATGACGATGGTCCACGTACTTGGGGCCCTGCCACCCATGTGGGAAACTTGAATGGAGTTTCTGGCCCCTGGCTTCAGTCCACCCCAGTCCCATTTGTCTGTCTGATGGCTGTCAACTTGTCTGCCATCAAATAAACTTAACAACAACACACCAAGCCCTCTGCCTGCAGTTCTTGCACTAGCTGGGTCTCTGCTCAGATTCTTTTCCCAATTCTTCAAACGGCTGACTCGTGTACTCCCTCCCTTTAGATCACAATTCAGAGATAACTGCCTCACAGGGCCTTCCCCTAACTGCCTCCTGGGAAGTGGCTCCCTCTCATTATTCTCTTTCTCACCCATTACGAATGCTCACTCTACAGCTTCTTTCTCTAGTCGTTTCCCCTACCTCCCCAGTGACTTGCCGTCTTGCTCATGGTATATGCTTGGCACTTACCAGTCTGTCAAGAAGTATTTGTTGAATTAGTTAACTAATTAATACCTACAGAATTGAAGTTCTCCCTGACCCTTGGTGTTAGTATTACGAATAGCATCTCTTCCCTTCTAAGTGAATGAGCGCTTGATTGGACTGTCAGCTCCACTCACACGCAATATTCTCTAGCTGACTTCATCCTTAATAGAGAGGTCCTAGAAATCAGCCCATCCTGCCCTCTCTTCCTGAACTAGGATTTCCTTAAAGGCAGTAACAAGCTCACACCACTATTCCATCCTAGGAGGTCCCGTGACTTCGTGCCCCAGGCGGCTCTGTGGGCTCAGCCTGAACTTCATTTGGCCAAAGCATCAACATCTGGGACCTCAAACTGCCAGATCTGCCATCTGCATCCCCACACCTCCCTGGTCAAGCCCCTGGCAGGCAAGTCTGTCCCACGCGCTCATCTCCCCCAGCAGCTCCTCTACAAGCCTCCTGACACTATACCTATGGAGAGAGAAATGGCATATGCTCTTTAGTTGAGTATTTATTTAAAAAAAAAAGAACTTCAAAACCACATGGACACGACCAAGTATTATTGCTGGTTGGTTTCCAACACAAAAAGAGAGATTTCTTGGATCACTGTGGTGCCCTCTTCCTCACGTACAGCAAAACACTAATGAAATGTTAAATCATTAGTCAAGGTATTCAAAACAATGAAAATGTGACTCTATTCCTATGGAAAAAATCCTTACTGTTTCCCAATAAAAGCTTTTTCTCTGGACAAGGAAAAGAAAAAGAGGTCACAATATAATTAAGTTTGAATGCAAAAATTAACAAATGCTTCTAATATCTGACACGCTTCCTTCTCTCCCACAGCATCAAAATGTCCTCTCTCATCAAGCATTTTACCTTAGCGCAGCCAGGCCCGAACCCCGAAAGCTCCTATCAGAGAGCAGATGGAGCCGTTCCCTGCCTAAGGAAACCTTATTTACAGTGTTGTGTATTTCACACGCTGACCTCATATCTGGAACCCATTCCTCTCCCCATCTGCAGAGAACAACTGTTCTCATTTGTGGGGGGGGGGGGGGGGGGGGACCCTGGCTACAGAGCCTCATGATGTCACAGGCCAGGAGGAATCACTTACAAACGCATGGGAATAGGAGTTGTTACACTGATCAAATTTTTGTTTGGTTTTGTTTTAATGTCAACAAAGTCATTTCAAAAGCAAAAATTAAAAGGGAGCTCACAGTAGAATGACTATAGTTAATAATGTACTGTATATTTCAAAAATGCTAGAAGAAAGGATTTTGAATGCTTTTACCACAAAGAAATGACAAATGTCTGAAAAGATATATACTGACTTGAATATTACACAGTGTACATATATATTTTTACACTGTGTAATATATATGTATATATTCAAATCAGTATATATATGTGTGTATATATACATATATGTGTGTATGTGTGTGTGTGTGTGTGTGTGTGTATATATATAAACTTTAGGGAAAAAAGGCAGAGAGGCAGATGAAGAGAGATCGTCACATGCTGCTTCACTCCCCAGGCTAGCCCAGCCTGAAGCAAGGAACCCGGAACTCCCACTCCCTGGGAGACAGCAGATGATGGCTCAAATGGTGAGTCCCTGCCACTCACAGGGGAGACTTGTGTTGAGTTCCCTGGCCCATCCCCAGTCATCACAGGCATCTGAGGAGTTAAACCTCAAATAGGTGGGAGCTTTCTCTGTCTACCTCTCTCTCTCTCTCTCTTTTTTTTTCTCTCTCTCTCTACTTCTCAAATAAATAAAATAAATACATTTTTAAAAATTCAGTATTTTGATCTTTTATTCAGTGAGGAAGTATATGTTCGCTGCAAATCTATTAAGCGTCAATCAAATGCCAGGCTCTGGAATAGCCTGTGGAATAAGACACAACCCTGCCATCAAGGAAGTAATCTATTTAGGGAAACATAAAAGCCAAGAAATGGTAATTGGCTTCAGGTGTAAACAAGTAAGCTGGCTTTGGGAAAGCAATTTTTCCAACCAACTCTGCTGGGAGAATTAAAGTGAGGCCTCTCAAAAAGGGTAACATCTAGGTAAGGACTTAAAGGGCAGGCCCAGTTATATCAAGACAGTGGTAGAAAAGTACCAAGAAGAGCATGTGCAAAGTAACAGGGGAGTCAAAGAACACAGTTTTTAGAGAAGCGTGGCAGGAAATGAGAACAGGAGAGGCACCAAGGCAACAGGAAACAAGAGCAGAGCCAAGACATGTGTAGGCAGTAAGGGCCTGAATGATGAAGAGCAATGAATGGATTGATGATGGACAAACAGCCAAATGCAGTTTCAAATCTCCTGAGAGGCCTTGCCAAAGAAATCCAGAGGAATCTTTAAAAAATCCAACACTTCATAGTACTCCTAGAATCATAAAAATCAGCTCACTTATTAAAAGAATTTTCTAGAAATCAGCATTGTGGCACAGTGGGTTAAGCTACCGCTTACAACACTAGCATCCCATATCAGAGTGCCAGTTCAAGTCTTTTTTTTTTTTTTTTTTTTTTTTTGACAGGCAGAGTCAGACAGTGAGAGAGAGACAGAGAGAAAGGTCTTCCTTACGTTGGTTCACCCCCCAAATGGCCGCCACGGCCGGTGCACTGCGCCAATCCGAAGCCAGGAGCCAAGTGCCTCCTCCTAGTCTCCCATGCGGGTGCAGGGCCCAAGCACTTGGGCCATCCTCCACTGCATTCCTGGGCCACAGCAGAGAGCTGGACAGGAAGAGGAGCAACTGGGACAGAATCCGGCGCCCCAACTAGGACGAGAACCCGGGGTGCCGGCACCGCAGGATTAGCCAAGTGAGCCGCAGTGCCAGCCAGTTCAAGTCTTGACTACTCCGCTTCCAATCTAGTTACCTGCTAATTCCCCTGGAAAAGTAAAATATGGCCCAACCTCTTGGGTCCCTGCCATCCATGAGGGAGACCTGGATGGAGGTTCCTGGCTCCTTGGTTTTGGCTTGGCCAAAACACAGCCCTGGCTGCTGTGGCCAACCGAGGAGTGAACCAGTGGATGGAAGACTTCTCTCTGTCTCTCCCTCTCTCTCTGTTGCTTTGCCTTTCAAATAAATAAAGAACCTTTTTTAAAAGTTTCTATTTTCTATTCGAGAGTCTGTATCAACTGCATGTGCACAGGTAAATATGGAAAAGCGATAAGGAAGAAGAGAAGCTACTTCTGTTAGCTGGCTGAGTGTGCCTAACGCAGAAGCTAGGCGCTCAGAATGAGGCAGCATAGGAAGCGATACCTCTATTCACTAACCTAAGAATGGTGCAATAGACCTAACCAGAGGATATCTGGCCCTCCCTCCTTCTCCAGCCTCATTCCCTACAACCTACCTTGTATTTCATGCTCACGAGAACCCAAGCTGACTTACTCTCCATGTTTTCCCAAGTGCATGATCTCTCCATACCTCATCCAACAGACCCAAACGTGCCACCCTTCAATACCTTCTCCGGAGCAGCAGGCAACACGGCTTCCAAGGTTCCTCCCAACACTCTCCCCACACACCTCTGGTCAGCCTTTCCTCTGAGCACTTGCGGTTCTAACCCAAATCATCTGTCCACATGACTGCCTCCCCACACTGGGCTGCAAGCTGCAAGCACAGACAGGCAGGCTCATTCACCCTCCTCTCCACGCCGCAAGCTCCCAACTACCACTGGGCCTGGCTCCCCACCAAGGTCCAACAGAAACCCACCCAACAAGCTACTGCACCTATTTTGTACACCAGCATCGTCTGTTGCTGTTTACTGTGTCCTTTCCAACTTGATCTGGTTATCTCCATCAACTGGCATCCACAGGCCTGGGCAAACTGAACCACTCAGTGTTTCATAGATCAAAACCCTGGCTCCCCTCCTGCCTCAGAAGCTCACACTGGTCCCTCCATTTGTACACCTTTCTTTTTCACCTGCACCACTCCATGACCTGGTTCAAATCTACCCCTTCCAATAAAGCATGGCTAGGGCAACCCTAGCGAGAAATAACGGCCCTCCTCTCCAACGTCAGAGCACTGTGCCAGCCCCGGTGCCGTGGTGCTCATCCCCTCCGCATGCGCTGCAGGCTGAAGCAGCGGTAAGCCCTGCACCCGCTGTGTCATGGCTCCCTCAAAGCCTGCAGCACAGGAGAGGCTTCTCGGGGTACAGTCACCCCAGCAGGGTACAGCCCTCCAGATCTGCAGCACCTGGATCAGTGTTCCTCTCTTCAAGCCTTCTGAGACATCCTCCTTGGACAGGTAGGTTTCAAATACGCTCTTTTTCTTCCCGCGCGTGGACTTGTTCTTTGACTTTCTGTCACCTGGGGAAGCACCACCACCACGTGGGCTGACCACAGAGGACACACCTAGAGACAAGAGGCAGCAATCAACTCTTTATCCAGTCAAACATCTCTACAGTTCTAAAACTGGAGACAGTAAGAATTTATTATTATTATTACTTAGAATGATCAACAAGAAAATGAAATTTTCTGATGGTGATTTAGAAGTCACACAAAAGAGAGAAAATGGGTAAAGAAAATGCATAAAATGTATACAGATGAGACCTCAGTTTTAAATCAACATAACATGCATTGAACATAAGCTGAGTAATGGGCTCATTTGTTTTGCTATTTATAAGTATTTTAAAAACAGGAATTACTAAAAGACTATCATTTTTCTGGACGAAATTTAACAGGTGTATTCAATTTAACAATAAATTAAGATAACAAGAAACCACATCTAATTCTAGAATAAGTAACACAGGAGAATATTTAACAGTTCACCAAAATAATTACAGTCCCCTCGTCCTACAATCTGCCCCCTCCACGCCCACTCCACTTGGATTCCAGCTCCACGTGCAGGGTCACTCCAGGTCCCTTTGCTACCTCTGGGAGTGCCCAGGGGCCGCAGGTTCAGCCTGTAGTCAGGATGGCTCATTCCTGCTTCCCAGGTCGCCTCTTCTCTCCAGATCCAGGGGAGCTTCCACTGCTCAACTCAGCACGCGTCTGCCTTGGGCAGCTCAGGAGGCACTAGCTGAAACCAAAGAGAGACTGGTGACTGGAGAGCAGTTAACCTGTATCCTCTCGAAATGCAGTACTTTGCTGTACCCAGATGCACTTGGCGCGTGGAGGCACCATGGTACCCTCTGCATGCGGCTGTCACATGCTCCTGGGCAGTTAGCCAGGCATACCGTCCGTCCCAAGTTTCTCTGCAAGATCTTCATCCTCACAGGTACCACTGGGTGGCCCCTTTGGGCCACATCTACTAAAATCCTCTGCACATGGGGCAATGAGATAGAAAAATAATAAATTATACAGTTCTATCCAGCTTGTAAGATACACAAACATGGGAGAAAGTGTGACTTGAAAAATAATACAAAAATACGGAATCTAAAAGCTGTAATGCAATAGGCACTAAACTAGAGCTTGAGATGTGGCATTTACTAAGCTTAACCTTGGACAAATGATTGATATCCATGAAGCTCCAAGTAAGATAATCCCTTACAATCCATCAACAGAACGTAATTCATTGCCTCAGCATTGATGCCAAAGCGATACAGGGAATCCCAGGTGTTTCACAAGCATTCTACACACAGCAATACCACAGTTCAACATCTAGTCCCCTACTCTTACCTGCCATCACCTCAAACCAGCTGTCTGGTCAGAAGCTCAGGCGGCTAATTCTAAGGAAGACAAAAGCAGCAGCCTGGCTCAGCAGACAGCAATGCGGGGCCCTCCTGCTGGACCCAGTCTTCCACCTGGATACTGATCACATCACTGTGACTTCTATTTTCTAGTCTCTGCTGGCCACCAGCCCAGGAGTCAAGCCTGTGCTTGCAAATTTCCAAAATCCTGGTAGGCAGCCTGCTCTTCTGTAAGATGGATCAAGATGTCATGCTGAACACTGGCTTCCATTTCCTGTTTCCCACAAATCTCCTTCGCCAAAATGATGTAATGTACCTTTAAACTGGAATGAATACTAACACAGGAGAGGAGAAGTGACACAGAGAAAGGGCAACAGGCCACTTAGTGACACAAAAGCAATTCAGAGATAAACGTTAACCCAGTTCTAAGAGGGAAGAGAAAGACGCCCTTCCATAAACAGCAAGGGGATGGGAAAGGCACACAGGCGACCAGACTGTCGGAGGGCTTAACCCAGAAACGCACTCACGCTCCTGACCTCAGCCCGTATCTCTGCATGGCACTAGCCCAGATGTAAGGGAGGAATGAATGTTGAAACAATGACCCAAGCTGGGAAGTAGTAAGCACCATGGCTGTAAGGAGGTGTAAGCGTACACATCATGGCAGGAAAACAGCACCTCCCAGTCAGGAGTCTGAGAGAACTTCAGGCAAGAGTGAGACAAGCACACTCAGGCAAAAGAAACACACACAGAGACACAAATAAAAACACAAGCAGAGTGTTGTGACATTAACTCCATTTGGCGAAAGTCCAGCCTATACAAAGGGAGACAGTGTGACAAGAAATTAAAACAAGTTGGAAAAAATAAATCTTTAAAAAAACGGGGGGGGAGGGTGTCCAGCACTGTGGTTAAAACCCCAGTCTGCAGCACCAGCATCCCATATGGACAACAGTTCTATTCCCAGCTGCTCCACTCCCTATCCAGCTCTCTGCTATGGCCTGGGAAAGCAGTAGAAGATGGCCCAAGTACTTGGGCCCCTGCACCCACATGGGAGAGCCAGAAGAAGCTCCTGGCTCCTGGCTTCGGATCGGCTTAGCTCCGGCCATTGTGGCCATTTGCGGAGTGAACCAGTGTCTTCCATCTGCTCTCTCGCTCTGTTTCTACCTCTCTTTGTAACTGTTTCTTTAAAAAAAAAAAAAAAAATTTATGTTATTCATTTAAAAGACAGAGTTACAGAGAGAGAGAGGTCTTCCATTCCGTTGGTGCACTCCCCAAATGACCGCAACGGCCAGAGCTGAGCTGATCCAAAGCCAGGAGCCAGGAGCTTCTTCTGGGTCTCCCACGTTGGTGCAGGGACCCAAGGACTTGGGCCATTTCTGCCTTCCAGGCCATAGCAGAGAGCTGGATCGGAAGAGAAGCAGCCAGGACACGAACCAGTGCCCATATGGGATACTGACGCTGCAGGCTGGGATATTAACCAGCAGCGCCACAGAGCCGGCCCTTGTGACTCTTTCGAATAAATAAAAATCAAATCTTAAAAAAAAAAAAAAAAAAAGTTGGATGGTCTAGAAAAGCAGCCTGGCTTCTCAAAGGCACCAGGAGTTTCTGAAGTCTGAATGCACAGAGAGAAAGACAACGGCTGGATTTGTGTTTCAGGACAAACCAGCCTAGCACAGGAGTTAGAGATGTCAGGAATGGGGAGACATTAGTGGCAGCTGCATCCTAACAGAACCAGAAGGGACAGGGGAAAGCAAAGGAGGGCCTGCACTGGAGTTGTACGAGCAGACACTGAAGAGAGGGCCTTAACACGGTCCTAGCCGAGACAAACTCACACTACCTGGCAAGCAGGCAGCTGTGGACGACAGCCAGGACATGGTTACACAGGCTTGTATGTGGTCTGCAGCTAGAGACAGGAACCTCCTACAACATCTCCGCATCAGAGAAGATGATTCATATCTCCACATACCTCCACATGGAATGATCATCCAAACTTGAAAACAGGACCACAACTTAGGGAGGGAAATTAGCCAGCCATTTGCATAATGACGATAACCCAAAATGTTCAAGAAAAGATGTGATTGCCAAGAGAAGGTATAGGGACACAGAAGAGGACTGGGATGGGGAACAAGCAAGCCCCTCCCTGGGGAATAGCTGCAAAGGCCCACTAACCCTGGAGACTTCCTGGGACCCACGCCCACCCTGACAAAAGATGGGGAAGGGCAACTTAGGAATGCAAAGGAGAAGTAGAAATTATGAGGAAGCTAAGAAAGATAGCAACAGAACCACGAGTCAGAGGTTAAGAAAACAGGAGAAAAGAGGAGGACAGGTTCATGACCAGGCTTTCTCCCACTACAGTAGGAACAGGAATGCTGCCAGCCTTGGGTAGGACAAGGGGCTGGGGGCAAGCAGCCAACAATTCCAAACCGACAGCCAGACTGAAAGCAGAGCACCACATACCAACCCTCACCCAGGCAGGAACTCAAGACTAAGGGGAGTGACTGCCAGTTAATCGGGGTGCAAGGACCCCTGGGCCAGCAGCACCCACACCCTTCCTTCACAGAGAACATCCCAGTTTGTATAATTTATGCCTCACTTGTTCCTCTAGCTTAGGAAGCCAATCACTCCACACCAGTGGCTCCATAGTAGCTGGGATAAAACAGGTGTTCAACCGCCCCTCTCCAAATGAACAGACGAGCTTGTTTCCAGGAACAAGCAGTGAGAACACCCAGCAGAGCAGGAGCATTCAGGGAACCACAATAAAACAAATCAGTAGGGGCCACCGTGGCGCAGTAGGTTAATCCTCCGCCTGTGGCACCGGCATCCCATTATGGGCGCCGGTTCTAGTCCCCGGATGCTCCTCTTCCAGTCCAGCTCTCTGCTGTGGCCAGGGAGGGCAGTGGAGGATGGCCCAGGTGCTTGGGCCTCTGTACCCACATAGGAGACTGGGAAGAAGCACCTGGCTCCTGGCTTCGGATTGACACAGCTGCAGCCGTTGCAGCCACTTGGGGAGTGACCCAACAGAAGGAAGACCTTTCTCTCTGTCTCTTCCCTCTCACTGTCTGTAACTCTACCTCTCAAATAAATAAATAAAATATTTTAAAAGAAAAAAGAAAAAAAATCAGTAAACAACAGAAGAACACAGACTCCAGGAAACAGAATTGGCAAGAAAAAGCAGACAACTAGGCAGGGAGACAAAGCTCACCTAGAAGAATCAAAGCCACTGTGGCGTAGTGAGTGGGTAAAGCCACTGCCTGCAGTGCCAGCATCCCACAGGGGCGCAGGTTCAGGTCCCGACTGCTCCACTTCCAATCCAGCTCTCTGCTATGGCTTGGGAAAGCAGCGGAAGATGGCCCAACTCCTTGGGCCCTTGTATCCACGTGGGAGACCTGGAAGAAGCTCCTGGCCCCTGGCTTCAGACAGGCTCAGCTCCAGCCACTGCAGCCATATGTGGAGTAAACCAGAGGACAGAAGACCTTTCTCTCTGTCTCTCTATCTGTAACTCTACCTCTCAAATAAATAAAATCCTTTTTAAAAGACAAAAGAAAGAAAACATTCACAATCCTTTTGGCTAGCTCTTTGGAAATTGAACACTATCATTATCAATAGTCACCCTACTGTCCAACAGAACACCAGAGCTTACTTCTCCCATCTAACTACAACTCAGCACCCACTGACCAAACTCTCTCCAACCCTCCCTTCCCCCTATACTCCTCAGCCTCTGGTAACCACTATTCTATACTCAACTACCATGCAATCAATTTTTTTTAGATTCCCTCAAGGGGTTACTTCAAAAGATTTATGGAAGTAGAATTTAAAAATCTATTCTGGTGAGCAACATTTTTAAATCCATGCACAGTGTTTGGATAATACACATTGCCCATGAACTTCTTGAGGACCCTCATATAAATGAGATCAGGTGGTGTTTGTCTCTCTGTTGCTGGCTTATTTCCCTTCACATAATGACTTCCAGCTCCAGCCATGTTGTTGCAAACACCAGGATTTCATCCTTCTTTATGGCTGAATGCTGCTCCATTGTGCACAAACACCACACTGTCTTTACCAACCAGAAATTTAACATGGAGAACAAAGGAATGAGATGGTCAAAGGAGACAGAGCTAAGAGGTTGCTCTGACCTGCTGATCTGGAGGACTGCACATGCACAAGACTGCAAATACGGAGTAGACAGATGAGCGGTCCACAGCAAGCTACTCGTCCTGGAGGAACGTGCAGCCTTGCAAAGATAAAGTAAAACCCAAGGCACCCAGTAAACTTCCAGAACTTTGGATGCCCAAGCCTCACAAGAACCACTGACAAAGGGTGGGATTCTCACTGTTTAAAGGAACTTTATGCAACCTTTGATCAAGTATAGGCTGACCACCAAGAGATGCTGAAT